CGACTTTGATTTATTCGGCGTTTTACCAATATGTTCTGCTTTTAGTTCGGCACTTAACAAATTTGGTACGAGTGGGAACCGTAGTTCCTAACATGGGCGAATCTGATGGCCGTTTGGAAACTGTAGTACCCAGGCTTTTTCAATCAAAAGCTTGCCTTTGGGGCATTGTGGAGGGCATGCATACGGCCTTGTATAGTCACAGGTGAATTTATATACATCAATGGCATTTAGGGGAACAGTTTGGTACTAGTCGCCCACAGTTACAAACGTTTTAAAGTGCGTATCCACTTGTTGCGTATCACCGTATCGTATAACCGTTATAAAATGTATCGTATGGTTATACGATATGAGGATACGTAACAAATGGATATGTATCTTTAAACATTTACCTAAACGATAAATCCCACGGCCGGATGGGAGCTATAGTTTCCATTGAAACATGTGATAAAAGAACATTTTCTATTATTAAATGTTTTTTAAAATACTTATAATGACATATAGATACTAAAAGTTCATTTCTGCAAGCCATGGGGTTGGAGAAATAGTTACAGCTCGTCCCAAATATGTTAAATGATGTCAATCATATGTGAATGACATGGAAGTCAAAATGGTAAAGGATATACAGGGTGTTCGCGATAATTTATACCATCGTTTCTTTCGTAAACGGTAAGCATTATTAAATCTCGCTATCATAAATACTTAATAACGTAGGTTTCTATTTGAATAAAAATAATATTTATCTAAAGTAATACGAGTTCTCTTGCAGTCCTAATTTCTACGAATGATTAGTAATAACCAGACTGCGGATTTTATGCATTTATAACCTGCAGGGGTCTGTGAAATACAGTAAAGGGCAAAACTTTCATCAGATCCACTAAGTTTTCTGGTTTATTCGGAACCCAATATGATGCTTGAGAAAAAAAAGAAATTCCTACATTTGTTCTTCTCTGTATAAATTGCTGTAATACTATAATAACGTAAGTCAAAGGATAGTTTCGTAAACTAAGGTTAAAGAAGACTCTTCGATCTAGAACTCGGTCGTCATTAAAAGACCAAAATCCTGATTAAAAATCAGTATTCGTCGATGATCACAGAAACAAGACTAACCTGTTACGTTAGACCAGAATTCGAGGTGTCTACTTGCCTTAAAACACAGCGGAACATGGGACGAAAAGTTTGTCCGGAGGTTGCATTAACCGAGCACGACTGTAAATAGTTCTGGATAGAGTTATATTCGATGATGGGATCCGGGTGGGAACATCTTCGCCCAGGTACCACCGGCGGGTATCGATTGCAGAACTCAGCCGAACTACTTAAAAGTTTCGCCGCGGTACTCTTTTACGCGACTCAACTCGTTTACAGTTGCACACCCCCTCCCTTCAACGACACCGTCGTTCCTTTTCGCACAAAAGCTTCTCTGCTCTACGTGGCCGGTCTTGCACATCGAATCTTTTCCTAACGGGGTTGTTCCAGGACACGGATTACGACTCGGCCGCGAATTTCTTTTCCCGTTTCGCCCGGGGCTTAAGGTACCCGGAATCCAACGGCGCGCCCCGAGTCCGCGAAATAAAACATTAATGGAACGGCAATTAAACGGCTTTCTGAGTTTGATGAAAGGAAATAAACCGGAGGCGGAATGCTTGCGTAGCGCATAACGCGGACGTACTTTGATGCGTTGATTGGGTTAGAAAACTGAAAAAGTTAGATGAAATGGAACAGTTGTAACCGGAATTTTCATTAAAATATCCCTGAACAGATGTCTTGCGATCAAATAATTCACTTACGACCTGCAATAAAATGTCCACCCTATAAATTAACAATTTTTAATAAATTAAGTTTTTTAACCCTGATCTGTCTCTCATTTTCCAAACTTAATTTATCCCTCGGTGTCAATTTGACTCAGTGGTAAAAATTAATACAATGAAAGGATAAATAGTTATATTTGCAAATTGTTTAAAGTAAAGAATCACGAAGCCTCACCTAAATTCACCTACACATGACAGAATAACGTCATTTTTTATAGAAACGCTAAATTCTCATACAGCATATTTAACACTGTCTCTTCAATTAAATATTGTATAATTCCAAAACTGCCTTAATGATCGAACCATACGACAATTCGATAGTATAACATCTACTGAATATCGAGGATACAGTAATAATCCCCCCAAATTTAATTTACCAAACTATTTCGTGTGACTTTGCCAATGTGTGCTCGTGTGCACTATCGTGCTGCAGAATTATTCCTTCCAACTGAAGAAGCGATGGTCTCCGTTTCTCCACAATTTCAACAGAAACTGTACACCAGCACAGCCAAAAACCAACAGACAGGCACCAGAACAGGATCATCGAAGAATCCTCCTCGGTGGTTATTCCCCAGGGTCATGAAACGCAAATACTTAGTTTACAAGCTGACGCAATACAAGGCACCGCCGACAATTCTGCGCCGCGATTGACCCCACGGAACACATCCAGGTACAAACCGTCGAGGGACGTGTAACACGAGAGGCAAACGTCGGGTGGTGAACTATGGAAACATCGGGCGTCTCGGTTTGCGCCCTTTGCCGCGAGGAATTCACTTGGAATGGATAAAATCTCTTATAAAATCCCCGCCCGGGCGTGTCTCAGGGCATGCATACATGTATGAAAGTGGTTCGCCGAGCGAGGCCAACAGGCGTACTCGTGAACGTCAGAGTTTGAACACACAGACATATACAGTGGGTCCAAAAAGTATTCGTACTACCTTTAGAACAGAAAAACTCTTTGAAAATTGGACCAAGTGACTTGAATTTCTTTGTGAAATTATAAGGATTAGTGTACTAGATTATGTGTTAATAAAATGTTGGAAAAGATGCAATTGGTCGGAATCGCGATGAAAATAGTAAAGGTCACTTTTTGCGACTTTTTTATCTGAGATTGTAATGAAAATTTAACAAATACATTGTTTAGATTTATGTTAGTTATGTGCATGCTGGAAATTACATCGAAATCAGTTAACGTTGTTATAAGATACAAACGGTTAAAAATGTTGAAAATCCCAGTTTTTCGCGACTTTTGATCTACTACTGTAGTATACCTAAATATTCTTACATCTTTCGATGCCTGTTACTCGTTTCTGTATTAACCGATTTCAATGAAACTTGCAGCATGTATATAATTGACATAAATCTTCGAAATGTATTTATTAAATTTTCATTACAGTCTCAGACAAAAAAGTTGTAAAAAACATTTACTATTTTCTTCAACACCCTGAAAAGTCGCAAATTTTTCAACATTTCTTTAACACATCATTTAGTAAACTAATCCTTCTAACTTTACAAAGAAACTCAAGTCATTTGGTCCAATTTTGAAAGAGTTGTGCTGTTTTAAATGGTGTACGAATACTTTTTGGAGCCACTGTATATACAGGCAAGCTTCGCAGGCTGAGAGATACCACTTCAAATTGCTCGCGCGCCGCATCTCAAACGAGCCTGCGGCCCCGTGAATCTCCGGGGAATAAACGTTTTCGTTTCCTTCATTTGCGCCTGGGATATATCCACCGACGCCGGTGTAGCGTGGCTTCTGTACGGCGGCAAACCGTGGTTCGCGTGAAGACTTTTAGGGAGAACTTTTCGTGCTACCATCCACGGAAACGACCACGTCTCACGGTTGTGTTGTATCACGCGATATGAAGTCTCTGGAATGTTTCGACCATACGTCGGGGGTATGAGTCGTATGAGGAAGATTTTCAATGAAGATATGTGCCAGACATTCTGTAGTATGTTAGATGAACGGGAAGTTTCTGTTGGTGATAAATGGACTGCGGATTTTAAGAATTTATCGCGTAGTACACGATTATCGTCGACTCGGTATAGGCTAATTTTTAATACAGTTTATGGAGGTTTTTGTTTTCTGTTGAAAGTTATAGGAACATTAATGTTATGATTAATCTTTGTAAATTAGTCCAGAAATATCTGTGTTTTCGCAGTCTGGGGATAAATGATACTTGACGAGTGGTTTTGATGGCTTTATTTATTCGATCGGTGGGAAATAAATGGTTGTTTGCAGATGATGAAGCCCCATACGGTGACTTAGAAGTATGTATAGATGATTTATACGAAACAGAAACTGCCGATTTTATGCATTTATAACGAATAGGGCTTTGTGTAATAAAAAAGAAATAAATCTCTATCTTTGCTGTAGTCGTCAAAAATTACTTTAGAAAATGTCATTTTGCATATAAATCCGCAGTCTAATTATCAGTATTACGAATACGAACATTAACCTGTTGAATCACGCGCTCATCCTATGGATCATAAACAGTAAATAAAATTGTTCAGATACCGAATAATTTCTTGTACAATTTAACAGCGTCGGTCATCGGTGACCACAATAACAATCAACGTATCAAAGTCACTTCGAGACACAGTACACGAGTCCTCTCTTATCTCTCCACTACAGAAAGCATCGACATTGTTGCACCATAAAAAATCCCATAAAATACCCGTTGTTAACGTTCTACAGTTACTGCTCGAGGCAGAGTGTCCCCTATACACGTAAAACCTTTTCCATCATTTCTCTGTTATTATCGGCACACGTTCTACCGTGGATACCCTATTATTCTTCACCGCGCGTAATTCAAACGCGTTATCGTCATTACTCCCGTATAAACGGTGCGTGAAGAACGATACGGGCGGATGAAAAGAGTAGCAACAGAGTCGAAATCGGTTTTCCAAAAACGATTCCTGCCCCGTTGTAACGATGTGAAACGCAACGCTTTAATCTCCGGGTCGCAATACGGGGCCACCAGGATCACGATTCCAGTTATTGACGAATAAACAACGAAATAAACGATTCCCAGCCGCCCGAGTAAAATATTCCCGATTAACGAGGGGCGTGAATTCGAACGCAGCGTTCACTTACTGTTTGATTTCCTTTTTTTTTTTTTTTGTTTGTTTGTTTATTCTCGTTGGAGAATTGCCGGCGGAGAATAGGAGAGGAAAAAGGAGAACGGAACTTACCGGTGAATTATTGGACGCGACCAATTCGTTTCCTGTTGCTCTTCGTGGGATGCTTGGAGAGCACAAGCTGAAACAGAAGAGAGGATGGGAAATTAGTGAAGATCGTTCGATTCGAAAAGCGTTTCGAATGCACGGTGGAGAATTTTCAAGAATTTGTTGTCGAAAACGATTACGCCTTTGCGGTTCAGAGAGGACTTTCAGTCGATATTTAAGTGAATAGTACAGTCATCTTTTATTTTTTTTACTGTAGATAGATTAAGTCTATCGCGGTGGGACATTTGATAACAATAGATTGCTTTCGTGCATCTTACAATACCGTGTCATTTTATTATTACTTTATATATATATATGTATGTCTATTTTAAAAAGTTCCATCGAGTTACTAGTTCCCCATAACTGAGACAGTTAACACTGAATCCACCAGCATTGAATGCATACTAAATTAATTAAATTGTATAATAAATAATATACATAATACATACTAAAATGTGTTACTAAATTAAAAGCGAAAATTAATTCCGTCGAAAGCACTGATCCGAGAACAAGATGTCTGCAATTCGTCATGTTGACAGGTTTGGTAATTAAGAAAATTCACAGTCACGACCGGTTGTGATCACTCACAGTGATTAAACTGCCCCCATTTGACTTACAATTAGTAACGAAAGTGCACAGCAAACACGTCGCGTCGTTCATCGCGCGTTTTTTCGCGAACCAGACGCGACGATAATTAAATCCGCCGAATTTCGGGCCACCTAATTAAGGTAAACGGCACTAATTGCGCCGGAAGTTCTCCGGTGACATGTCCGCGAGGAAGTATGTATAAACGGAGGTGTATTATGTATCGGGATCGGGCACGATATTCGACGAACGTGGGAGGGATTCGCCCGCGGCGAACTTGCTGTAATTAATTAGCGGAGAAATTATAACGCGTAATGAAGCCCCGCGCGAACAAATTCGGATACGCGTCTCGCGTCGAATCGGACGGTCGTGATTTTGATACTAATACGGATGATGCGTTTTGCCGACGAACCGAGTCTGGGCAACAGTACTGGGCTCGGCTGGTCTTTCATTGGATTTTGGTTAACAAATCGTGTTCCCCGAAGCTAATAGTGATAGCATTTCTGACGGCGAATACTGGATTCTGATAGAAAAACGATGATTAGATAGCACAACTTTTGGCATTTACGGCATGAGGTAACGATTGAAATTATCTTTTTTTTTTTTTTTTTTTAAGAAAACTATTAACGAGGAAAACAAGTTTCTATTCAATACTAGCTTTCAAATACTAAGTTTTAGCACACCTGGTTTGTATAGAGAAAATGAGACGTTTCATAGCAAATTATACAGAGTGATAATAAAGTCAATCGCTTCGACTGGAACAGAAAATTCTTTTCAACTTTGAAAATATTGATTTTTCAACCCATGTTTTGTTGGGACTTTTTTTCATCGTTTGGTGAATATTATGTACCCTAGAGGTTATGAACAGCTTTTTTTATCGCCTTGTACATTTTGACGGAAACCAACTTTATATTCAACACTAGCTTTCACGTGTCACGTGTTAGAACACCTGATCTGTATGAAGGAAATGTGATGTTCTATAAAAAATGATGTATTTAAAACCACTTTTGTTTGTTGGGAAAATGATGATTAGAATACTGAACTTCATGCATCTGTCACATAAGGGGACTACCAAATAGACAATCGAAGAATTTTGTACAAATGATACAACTGCTAATTATAACTTGGTATAAATAACGAGGAAGTTATCATAAAGGCTAATTTGGGAAATATCCCCTATACCTAACAATACCAGGTTTATATAACCAATGGCCAGCCAAAGAGTCCTCTTCAAGTTACACAACTACTAATTCTAAGCTGGTGTAACCAATGGCTAACCGAACAATTCTGTTCAAATTACTGTTAACTGGTATAAATAATAGCCAATCGGCTATCACAAGAGGAAATTAAGAGAATGTCTCCCTTCTAATAATACTCTAACAGAACTCCTTGAATTCCCTGCCATACCATGCGACAGACGTAGGAACACGATTAAAATCGATAAAGCAGGAGTCGATTTCCCCTCGACACCTACTGCAAAAGTGCCTTAACCACGAAAAATTCGTAAACTCCAGTACAACGATCGCAGAAACTTAATCACACCCTCCAATCTGGCGAAGAATAAATTCGGTTCTCCGAGGCTAACGGTCGCATATCTTGTGCAGTTTATCAGCCTCGCAAGAAACAGGAGACGTGGAAAATATGAACGAACCTATCTGGAGCTTAATTAGAAGCATCAATATGGATAAACCCGGGCCGCGACTCGAAGGATTTGCATGTTGGCCAGCTGCCGACGAAGACACCTACAGAGGGGTTTATAGTCGTTTTCCCTTCCTTTTCGACGAGACCCGGATTCGCTTTAAGACTCCACGGGTTACGGGCCTGGGAGAACCTGGGGATTTCTTGATAGACATATGGCCTGACAATGGGAGCATCGAAATGTGAAGACGGTTCATCCGACGAGGATATTGATAGGCAGTATCGCGATGGAGGGCAATAAGCATAATGTTATCAGACCACCTTCGATCAACGATGGTTACTGATAGCTTAATGAGGTTCTGTTTTTCATGAAAGAGTTTCCTGGAACTGCAGTCGTGGTTATGAGAAAGTTTAAAAGAAGTATACGCTGACAGAACCAAGTATAATTTAACCGTTAGACGGTGTCTAACAAGGAGGGTATTTTAGGTGTCCGCCTCCGATTGCTTTGGTTTTCGGATATGTTTTAGAGGACCGAAAAATAAGAGATACGTATTTTTTTATAGCGGCCCGTTTTCATATTTAGGGGGTGAAACCACCCCTCAAAGTTTCGACCCGGAAGTACTATCTCGAAAACCAGAGGAGATACATGAAAAAATTCAATTGGTGGCTTTCATGGTTTTTTATGTACAATAAACTGGTGTTAACGAATTGTCAAAAATACAATTTGATTATAACAAAAAAATTTGTTATAACTTTATTTTACAACTTATTGAAATTTGCGTAATGACATAAAATGACGAGCACTTAATTCCAAATCTATATTTATTTTTGAAATTGCCTCCTTAGTCCTATTCCAGTATTTTTAGTATAAAAGTGGATACGCAGAAACCAAGTTAGGAGATTTTGTGAATCCTGTAGAATTTGCTTTCGAAGAGAATATAGAAATGAAATGTGCACTCTGTGATGAAACACCGATAGTTAGATGTTCTTGGTGTAAAAAAGCATTTTGTTTAAAACATTTTCTTCGTGAATATCACTTTTGTGACAAATATGAACCGTAAAGTCTTCGATAATATATGTATTCTCCGAAAACCGAGGCAATCGGAAGCTTAAAGAGCGGGCGTGCGCACAGGATATAAATAATAAAAAAACTGCGAGACTAAGGAGGCAATTTCAAAAATAAATATACCAATGGATTTGGAATTAAGTGCTCGTCATTTTATGTCATTACGCAAATTTCAATAAGTTGTAAAATAAAGTTATAACAAATTTTTTTGTTATAAACAAATTGTATTTTTGACAATTTGTTAACACCAGTTTATCGTACATAAAAAACCATGAAAGCCACCAATTGAAAGTTTTCATGTATCTCCTCTGGTTTTCGAGATAGTACTTCCGGGTCGAAACTTTGAGGGGTGGTTTCACCCCCTAAATATGAAAACGGGCCGCTATAAGAAAAATACGTATCTCTTATTTTTCGGTCCTCTAAAACATATCCGAAAACCAAAGCAATCGGAGGCGGACACCTAAAATACACAAGTGTAAGTCCATTCTGGCCTAAAGTATACATATACATATAAAAATATGAATCTTAATCTTTCTTTTCATCGTAACGGCTGCAATGTACATATAAACAGCTTCTTTTTAGAGAAATTAAAACGTAATGACCCATGGCATTAACAAACTAATTCGTATGGACAAATCCGACGATAAATCCAGCTTAAACTGATGTATTTCTACATTAGACTTGTACCATTTTCGAAAAATGATTGATACTATCTTTTAATTCGAATTCTATGAAGTAATGTAGAAATATTTTCATTAGTCCTCGGTTTATTATTTGCTGCAGTAACAGGCGTTACAAGCTCTCGTGAACATCGTCCGCAGGAGATCGAAATTAAACATACTTATCAAACCACAGAGACACGACAAACAACAGCCACCCGAGAGCGCCAGCGATCCAACCACCGAAGAAGATCGATCGTTACCGATCCCTCAATCCACCGGTGTCTGCAGGTGCAGCACTCAATTCCGATGACGTCTAATTGTCCCCGGGGGAGACGGGACCGGAGACACGCAACTAGGCCGCGATCTACGTAGCCAATTAACTAAGTCACCGAATACGCCGCCCCTTAAATACGTACAAATGGCCCGTCGCGATCGAACGTCAAACGCGGGATGAACGAGCCGTCAGAATTCCGACACTGTGGGAACGACAAATCCCAGTGATTGGAAACGCTTTCAGGATGTTCCATTTATCCTTTTCGTTGCTAAGAATAACTATAGTCATCGCCGAGGGTTTCTTGTACCCTAAAAATGAATAGGTTATTAGGTCACAGCAAGGAAGTGACATCTTAGAACTTGAAAATAAACTGAAGTACATTTATTAACTATGGTACAACACCCTGCAATTCACAAATATTAGCACGTTTACCGAATAGGCAGTAAATATTAAAAGGCATTACGAAATTGTTGAAAGCCTTAAATAAATATTGTTCGATGGACGAGTCAAACCATGCATAAAGCTTGCAGCACAGTTGTAGTTCAATTTGTGCAACTAATCGAGACCTAATCGAAATTACGTTCAGCATAACCTTCGCCTAATTCAACGGTAGTCGATGCCTAATTCGGCCATAAGTCAACCGTAAACCAAGCTGAACTTAGCCTTACCATCAGCTGTAAATTAGCGCAATCATATCTCACGTAGAACCAATACGAATACGGTCGATCTTAATTGAGAACTAACTCGATTCTATTATTTACCGCATTCGGCGTTGATGTAGACGTGACCTGGATAAAGTCCACGCGAAG